TACATCTCACTAATGGCAGCTGTATCCTGACAGGCATCTATTAATGCAAAAGAAACAGGCCAGGCAATTCTTCAGAAAGTGCTCTAGCTCAGTTTTGTGTTGAGGAGGCATTCGTGGCCTCAGGATGAGCCTGATGTGATGGTCATGTTACTTTAAAGTGCAACTGCTCCAGGTTTTTGTAGGCTTCTGGTAAAAGGAAATATTGTATGTGAGGAGCCCTCCCCACTCCCCACTCCCCCCCCACACACAACCTACACTCCCAACAAGGAAGAGAGAAATAACGCTACTGCAAAGCATATAAGAGCAGAGAAGCATCAGATTTTTCAGAACTGTTGAGAGCAGGATTCTGTTGGCTTGTTCTCATAGCACTGAGGCCCTTCTACCAGCTCCATGTAACAGATGGGTTTCCCAAGTATTTGGGACTTTTATAATGTGGGTTATGTTTCATAGCCTTGAAAATGGTATTCTGCATACAAGGCTCAAAGCATTGACCTTTGCCATTCTCATCACTGCTGTGGTGGGGGTGATGATTTGAACCTCTCATGAACCCAAAATGCATCATACTGGGATTCAGCTATGAGAGTCAACACTGCACCAACAATGGCAAGCCCCAAATAAACCTATCCCACAGCTTACATTCTGTAGAACAGGGACTCCAAGCTCCCATCATCCCCAGCCAGCATGGCCAATGATAAGAGATTATGGGAGCTGTAGTCCAACAACAACTGGAGAGCACCATGTTGGTTGTCCCCAGTCCAGAATGTCCTCTCTAACCCACACTGTAATCTGAACCACTCTTACATAACTCAACTGGCACGTAATGTGTGCAAATAGTATTGAACTTGGAACGTCACTGTTCACCATACAGTTTTCACCTTCCTATGTGCTGAATGACAGCCACCTTGTGCTGAAGAGATAGTGTGAATAGCCCTGTCACTTGGTGGATCCTGTACTCTTCTCTTGAAGACTTGTGACCTGTCATTCTAGCTAATTTTATTCCTAACAAATCAGGGTGTCCAATCCTAGCAAATGACTCCAATTGCCCATCCTTGCTGATGGGAGTTTTAGTCTGAGGCCATTAAGAAAAGCCCTGCAGAGTCGCCTGGTTTCCTTAAGGAAGAGACATCCCTTTGCCCACTTTCCTCTCCCCCTTCCTTGCCTTGTCCCTCAAACTCCTTGCATTCTTTCCCACAGACATATTACCCAAGTGCAACACAGATGATGAGGAGACCCTTTGTGTGATGGATTTTTGTTTTTATCATAAAAGCTCTAAAAACAGAGCATTTTGGCTCACTTAATCATTTTGACAGATGACAATACTAAGTACCATTCCCAGACAGATGACACTCGACGGCTGACAATACTAATCCTACAGCAGCTTCTCAGGGGAGATACTTATTGTAAAAATTGACATCTATTGCACCCGGATGCTCATAACCCATTTAGCAACGCTGTGTTGTGCAGCATCACTCTTGACTCAAGGTTTCTGCTGCTGCTGAGCTTGGGCTTTGGCAAAACTGGCAGATCCTTTGTGTCAGCCGCCTCTCTGAAAAGCAGCTGAAATTGTGATGTATAGGGAAAGCACAGATGTTTGCTTAATGGTTATTTCCCTGGGGACTTCTGTTAAAGTTACTGGCAGCAGAGAAGTGTGTGTGTGTGTGTGTGTGTGTGTGTGTGTGTGTGAGTGAGTGAGAGAGAGAGAGAGAGAGAGAGAGAGAGAGAGAGAGAGAGAGAGAGATGGGACTGTTAGCCATACATTTATTTTGTGCAAGAACATTGCAGAAGAAGCAGGGACAGATACAGACTAACCCAAATGGCCCTGAAATGGATCATGCCTCGATTTTGGCTCACTGGAAGGAACTGCAAAGCTTTGACTGACTGTGCTGGGCTACAGGTTAATCAGATCTCTGGTGGTGATTCCTTCCTGATGGGAAAATACAGTGGAATGTATTTTTTAATGTACATCAAGCAACTTAGCTTGAAGAAGAGGCCAAAGCGTCTTGGAACTAGTGTCGAGCACCCTGGTTGGTATGAAAGTTGAAGGTCCAATCCTGATGATATGCATAAATATGCATTACAGTGATTATTGCAGTAGGTCCAGAACAGCAAACAAAGTGTCCTCCAGGCGACACTGGACTCATCAGCCTGGCCAGTGTTCAGAGATGAGGGAAGCTGTAATCCAACAACATCTGGAGGGCCCCACATTGGCTACACCTGCAGTAGCAGTGCTAGCCTACGTATATAGGGTTCTGCTGAAAGACAGTGTTAAAAATCTGATATAGGATTTCAACATCTCTTCAAGCTCCTGTAGAAACTGCCCACAACTGTCCCCCTTCCATTTTTGAGGACTCTTTTTCACATGCATGTCTATTGTCCAATGACATCAGGGGGTTGACTTACATGAGTGAATTGGCCACGAAAGATCTAGCACCATGCACAGAACTTCCATATTGCTGTGTTGTCACAAAAACAGCCGTCACTCCCCTGTAAGGTTCATCACTTTCAAACAATGGAACTTGGTCATAGCCAACTGGCTACTTCTGTTGACTTTCACAGGACATTACTCACAACTAATGCAAACTGGATTAAAGACTCTAGCACTGGAACTTGTGAACAGAAAACGTTTTCAGCTTGTGATGTGGAACGGTGAGGTACAATCAGAAGCTGCTTATGACTGGACACAGATGCACCCCTTACAGCAGCCTCTGCTCACCTGGTGCCCTTCAGATGTTGCTGGAGTACACCTCCTACCAGCCCCAGCCAACAACATCTGCAGGGCACCCGTTGGCAAAGGCTGCCTTGCAGAATCCCCTTGCAGAACCCTGTACTCCTGTTGGCAGGGTGTGAGGATACGCAAAATATTCTGTTGCCTTGTATAATTAATGAAGGCCATGATGTGACAGATTCTCTGTCTGAATGAATGTCACTGCCAAAAAAATAGTATTCTGAAATCTGGCACACTTTTTCAGGAACCACAGCTGAGACAGAGGCAGCTAAAGCACCATGTGTGGCTCTTTTGTCATCTTCTATAGGTTGCTTTTCTGTGCAGAAGATATGTGATGAGTGCCTCCTCCTCCCACTTCTGTGTAAACTGATCTCTCCCCCCCCCCACGCACACAAACCACACCCTCCCTGCCCCCCACATCCAGCATTATTGTTGTGCTTCTTATACAGGTCACAGAATAAACATTCTCTCAGCTTGCCTGATGCTTGCCATATGTTGACTCCTTCCGAGATATATTTTCTCTCTCTTGATTTCTTTGATATATTCAGCATCACTATCCCCATATGGTATTTTGTAGCTGCTGCTTTTGTGTATTCCGGTGGGGTTTGTCTTTTGCCTTTCAAAGGTTTGTCGTGGAGACAATCCTTCGCAGAACAGTGTTGTGAGCCTGGTTCGTCTAATTATACTCGCTCATTAGAGATGCATCAGAGGTTTTGTGTTAAATTGCTGAGGGTTTTAAAAGCTGAATATCTGAGCAGCAAAAGCTGCATAAACACCAGAGAGAGAACAGAAGGCTTCTTGTATTGAAAGATGATGCACCCTGAGCCGATTTCTTTACTCCTTCATTAATTGCAGATACCTCTGTCCAGGCTTTCTCAGCGCCAGCTTAGAAGTGTTTATCAGGAGAGACTAGGACTGGATGTTGAAGGCTAGAACTGTGTATGCAATGTGACCAGCCCTTTGACCTCTAAGCAAGGTTGCTTAGGGCAGTGTGCTATGGACGGTGTTGAAGGAAGAGTCAAGTGCTAGCCCCGTTAGCTTCTGTAACAAAATGTATTGTCTGGCCCCTATAAAGCAGCTGGAAAAAACAAAGCTCAGGCTATTTGGCAAACTCCAGTAACAAGACAATTGGGAGCAATTCCCACGTGCTATAAAAATGCATACATGCCCATGTGGTTGTGTGTATCTCCTTTGAACTTTGGTACAGTGGTACCTCGGGTTACATACGCTTCAGGTTACATACGCTTCAGGTTACAGACTCCGCTAACCCAGAAATATTACCTCGGGTTAAGAACTTTGCTTCAGGATGAGAACAGAAATCGTGCAGCGGCGGCGCAGCGGCAGCAGGAGGCCCCATTAGCTAAAGTGGTGCTTCAGGTTAAGAACAGTTTCAGGTTAAGAACGGACCTCTGGAATGAATTAAGTACTTAACCCGAGGTACCACTGTACAAGCGAACTCTGAGTTTCCAATATGGCGACCTGCAAAGACTAGCAGAACAGGTCTCAGCACCTGGCATCCTTGGACAGCTGCCAGGGCCCTGGCTTTTTAAAGCTGATACCTGTCCTGGGTCCACCTGCTCTAGCCTTTCCTTAAATTTCCTACACTATGCCATGAAAATTCAGTCCCATAAGATGCAGCGATGAGCACCAACTTGGATGTCTTTAAAAGAAGACGCTACAAATTCATGGAGGATCAGGCTGTCAATGGCCACTTACCACCTGGGCCTCTGAATACCGGTTGCTGGGAATCACAGGTGTTGCACTCAGGTCCTACTTGGTGGAATGCTGTTTAATTCAGCTTCCATGAGTGAAAAGGGGTTGCAAAAAGAGAAATGATGCTAGCAAATTCCTCGTTTCTCCTGCATTCCCCTGCACCAGCTGCCACACAACTTTAAAGGGTCCATTTAGAGGTGATTTGGGGTGGAGTGGACTCAGGAGACTTCAGAGGGAAATAGGATTAGCAAAAATTGCCACTTCTTCCTCCCCTCCCTTCCACTAACAGTTTCTGATGGACCAAAGAATTTTCCATCAGTGGAAAGGCACAACTGGATACAGTTTGGGGATTCTATTTATGATGACTGTTCAATGTACATCAGGGAATGGCAACTTTTTCAGCTACATTCCCTTCCGGATAACCTTCTGAGGGCCACATGCACTGATGGGTATGGCTACAGGTGAAAGTGAATGGTGCAACAAATGGACATTTTGCCTTTGTACAGTTGGCTGGTTTCTGCACATATTCACACACCTCTCTCTATCTCTCCCCCCCCCCCAGACAAGCAATGAGCTTGGGGGTGCAAAGCCACATCTTCTAGTGGGCAACCATGTGGGTGCCACATGCCATTGGTGAGTAGGGCAGTTAATGTCTTGTCTTTGTCTTTGTCCAGTAGGCTACTGTCCAGCCACATAGACCTCCACATACAATGCTCCATTAAGGCAAGGAAGAGGCATAATTACAGTTCAGGGAGTCATTCAAGCCAGGCAAGGAGGTGGCTGTGGAGCGGGACCAGTGAGGGGTGTGGCTTGGGGAGAGTTCCAAAGGCCAGAGAGAGAGATGCCTGAAGGGTCAGATTTGCCCCCCAGGCCTAAGGTTCCCTATCCCTGGTGTATATGGCACTTTAGAGGGCCATGTTAAATAATGAAATTGAAGTTCCTACCTCAAGAAGCTTGCAATATAGATTTAGAGAGGGAGGGGAGGATGGGAGAGTGAAGACTCACAAGGGATGACCGTGTGGTTTACTCACAGAAGGTCAAATACAAAGTACAGATGGCTTATTGCAAATCTGTTCTTTTTGGCACCTGTTTCCCAGAGGACAATATGGCTTTTTTCTCTGCTAGGTCCTTTGGAGTGGAGTCAGCCAGGGAGCAATTCAGGCAGGCGCCCTGCTGAGAGAGCCTGACCTTCTGCCATTAATTCTGATAGAGCTGAGAGCGATTGTGTCCACAAACCTGGTTAAAGCTGATGCAGCAGAAGAGAATAACAGTCAATAAAGCTTGCAGCTCACACTAGCCAACAGCTCTAAGACAAAGGTGCCCAAGGAAATATTCATCATCTAAAGAACTTCAGGATCTGAGTGGCATGCTGAGTTATTGCAATGGCTTGTCCTTGCTAGAGACTTTGTTATAGCTAGTTTAAGATGTGGTGGAAAATGCTTGCTGGCTCACCCTTGTGGCTGAACGGCATATTGCAGGACGCAGCTTGCTTCTAAGCCCAAGCTAATAGGCGACATCAAAGGAGCATCCCTCACTTCTGTTTGTGCAACTGCTTGAGAGAGTTGCATCACGTGGCATCGCTTTGGTGGGCTCATTGATGCTATCAAGAAGAAGGTTACTGTGACACATTCAGCCCATAAGGAAGATCATTATCATCAGTAGCGTGACATTTAATAACGCAGTCGATAAAGTATTAGCAATATTGTGTTTTTCATACCTTTTACAATTGATTCTGGGACATTCTTTTTTTTTTTTACAGAATGCAATCAGCCTGAAGATCTTTACGAAAATCGAAAATGATTGCAAGGGAAGAATGTGTTGTGTAATAGATTAATAACAATACAGTAGTATATTTAAGCCAGTTCTGTTCCTCTTTAGCGGGATATGCTTGTTGCTTAACTGTCTCTTGTGTCCATGCTAGTGGTGTCCCTGAATGCATCCCTTTACTTTCCTCCTCCACACTTGGGAGTCCACCCCACCCTGCCATGACCAACTATGAGAATGTCCTTCCTTCCCCTTCTGAAGACAACTACAGGGTTGTGGGAATGGGGCATCCCTGTCCTACACATTACTCATGACAGGCATGTGGCCATTGAGTCACATCCTCGTTTCCACACAAAGCAGGCCCAAACCGATGTTTTACTGTGCATGCACCAAGTTGTTGAATGCTTGGGAGTGGGTGGGTAGTGTTTGTGTCATTAATTGTCCTTTTTATGTGTGCAAGAACGACTTTTATATGCAAAGGGAAATGTGTTCATTCCTCGCTAGGATAGAACGATCGGTTTTGAAAACAGGAATTCCCCTTGACTCAAATAAAAAATGGATTGCCAGTTAGAAGCAGCACTGGAGAATGCTATATGCAAATAAATATTTTTTCACAAGAGTTTGAAATTGGCTCATAATTATTTGAAAAAGTGCAGACATTACATTGTGGGGATGGCAGTAGGGAAAGACAGCACATCGCCTACGTCAGTGTTTCCCAACCTTGTGCCTCCAGATGTTTTTGGCCTACAACTCCCATCATCCCTGACTAGCAAGACCAGTGGCAAGGGATGATGGGAATTGTAGGCCAAAAACAGCTGGAGGCACAAGGTTGGGAAACACTGACCTACGTCTACTCTATGATGCACACCACCCCAGTCTCCAAGCAGTGTGAGTTTTCAGCCGTTCCAGGGTTCGGTTTCCTCAAAATGAGGCACAGGGGAGACTGTGGTGTCTTTATGATAATATGGGTTCTTTATACATGTATGCAACCTGAGTCTATGATGGAGGGGCTCACAACATCAACACCTCAAAAGGGTCTTGCTTCTCCCATAGCCACAGGTTTGGATCCCACCAGAAATTAGGCCTGGCTCTGACCTCCTGCTTTTCTAGCTTGCTGCCTTGTTTCCAGCTTCTATCTTACACACACCTCAACCCTCAACTCTGGCCTTTGTCTTTCTAACTATCAGTGAGTTGAGGGAGGTGGACTCACTCATTTGCTGTCAGGCACAGAACCATTTCCTTTGTTACCTTAATAAGGTAAAAGGTAAAGGACTCTTGGACAGTTAGGTCCAGTCAAAGGTGACTATGGGGTTGCGGTGCTCATCTCTCTTTCAGGCCAAGGGATCCGGCGTTTGTCCACACACAGATTTCTGGGCCATGTGGCCAGTATGACTAAACCGCTTCTGGCGCAATGGAACACTGTGGCAGAAACCAGAGCACATGGAAATGCCGTTTACCTTCCCTGCCACAGTGGTACCTATTTATCTACTCATGCTGGTATACTCTCAAACTGCTAGGTTGGCAGAAGCTGGGACAGAGCAATGAGAGCTTACCCCGTCATGCAGATTCGAACCACCGACCTTCTGATCGGCAAGCCCAATTGGCTCAGTGGTTTAGACCAAAGCGACACCTGCTCCCCCTGGCTCATACTTAGACGGCCATTACAACACCAGGAAGCTAGTCTGGCTATTTCAGGAATCAAATCCATGCTGGATCCAGGAATTAGAAGGGGGCTTATGCATACAGCCTATTCCACCCCCCACCAAAAAAACTCATACCATGTTCCCTATTTTCCCTGAGTAGTTCATGCTCAATGATGCCTTGTTCCTTGATGGGCACTAACCGCTGTTCCACAGCTGTCCAAGTCAAAAAAGTGACCCCAGATTTAGGGATAGCTCTGCTAGTCCTGCTGCCAGCCTCCTGAGGTCTAGTTCAAACTATAAATCTTTCAAGTCACTTATTTTTTAAAATGTAAGACGATTTCAACATGCACCAACACAGCAGCGACCATCTTAAGAATGAATAATATAATATCCTTAGTTGAAATTCTGAGCTGAAGACCTTTTTCAGGGACGAGGGAACTCATCTCAAAAAACGCATGCACTGCAAACTCCATAAATTTCTATTTGGAGCCTAATATTTTTGAACTACAGCAGCTTCACCAATATTTTACATCATCTTGTTTGCCTGAGCAGGAAAAGTGAGGATCTATGTTCAGTCACCCCAGATTTGACCAACAAAAGATTATCATTGTGTCCTTCCCATTCAGTCAATTTAATTCAGCTGACAGAAGACAAAGAGGATAGATTAGGACCTGTCTTTTACATGAAATCATATCTGGCAAACTGATGTGCCTGGATTTAGATCCACCAATAGACAATGCAATGCCTAATAACAAACAGATGCACTGTGGGAGATTGTCTCGAAGAATCAGCACACCAAAGAGAAGAAACCAGCATAAAGGGAAGGTTTTAAAACAGTTTTCTCTGGCAGGAACAAACAAGTTTAGCTGCTCTGCTCCCTGGTTCTCAATTACCAAGGAGTGAAAATAATGAGCTGTTACTCTGAAATTTATTGAAACAGCTACTTGAAGCAGGGGTTAGGTATGTGATATGACAGTTTTCCCTCTGTCCATGACTGACCTTTTGTTCAAAAGAAATCCAAAGCTGTGTTACTGAACATTTTATCAAATGCAACAGAAAAAGGATTACATGCCCATTTTCAACACTCCCTATATATCCACTGTTAGGAATGTTTTTCCAAGAGAATAGTTGTTGTTTTTTAATTGTCCCCAGAGTCCTGTAGAATTAGAAGCACAGAGTAGCAAAACGATATTTCTCATTGACTAACTATCCTTTCGAAAAGCTGGCATAATGTGGCAATAAAGATCAAAAGTTGTGCAACAGAAAGGCCCTGTTTCAATCTCACCTTATCCATGAACTCACTGAGTAGTCAACTTTATGTAATCCATAATAATAACATATTTGATTTCTGGGAACAAGAAAACTTGTCTATTTTACTCCAGTGGTTGCTGATGCCCACTGGAGCCAATAGTGTGAAGGCAGAAAGACCAACAGAATATGGAGCCAACTCATTCTGTCCCCATCTTCCTGTTGAGTCCCTCAAGGGCAGCACTATGGCTAAGGAGGAGGAAGTGGACACTCAATGTCCACTGCCACTCCAGACCAGATGTAAGTAAAAAAGCAAGCAGGTGGGGGCTGGCTGAAAGCAAAATGAGACTGGCAGGACAGGGGTCCCATTCACACCAATGAACTAGTATCGAGTGGAAGTACTTCACTAGTGGAGACAGAAGAGGTACCTCAAAAAGCCAAGGGAGATGCAAAGGAATAGGAATAGGAATAGGCAATTTGTATGACAGATGCATGGAGAATCAGGTCCCCCCCCGCACTATTTACATGGGTATTTACTATTTACTACTATACAGCCATAGCAGTGTACCAGACTCCCTCCCTTTCCCACTGCCTCCACCAGAACAACAAAGACAAGCACAAGGGGGAAGTGCTGGTTTTCACTTTTAAATCTAAATCTAAACAGTTTTGGACCAAATTATATGGAGGGCTACTAATGCCTGTATGGGCCTGTCAATGCATTAAGATCTGCCTCAGGTGCCCTGTGTGCAAGTCTTTCTGTAAGGTTGGGAGGCACAGAAGATAGGGGCTTTACTGCTGTGGCACCCATATTGCAGAAATCCTCTATCAAAGATATGCCCATTTTAAAAACACATTTATTTGGCCTGCTTGTTCTTAATTGTAAGACAATTATTTCAGAAAGCTATTCTAGAATGGATGGTATTTCTATTTTGCTGGAACTTATTTTGCTCTTTTATTTTCATTATTTTAACTGGTCTTCTCTGCAGTTATCCCGTTTATAGAATGCTCTCCCCAGGGAGGCTCACACGGCACCAATTTTGTCACTGCATTAACACCAGGCAAAATTCATTGTTGTTTTCCTGGGGATCTGAGGAGCACCAATGATGTGATTGTACTCTTAAATCTGTTTTATTAAGGTTTCCATTATTTTATTGTTGTATTTTTTATTTTGGCTGTAAATTGCTTTGGGCTTTTCTTAGTGGGAAGCAATGTACAAATCAATAAACCCAGGCCTATGTCAAAACACTGCTATATAAATTTGTTGTTTTTTGGTGTTTTTTAATGAGAGAGAAGCCACCCTGGATGAGTTGTACCCAAAAGAACAGCTTATAAATAATTTTAAAAATGGAAGGAAGTTGGAGGAAAAACAGTGGAGGAGTGTGATGGTTGTCTATGGGAAGTGGGGTTGAGGGAGCCAGTTGTGCCCCCCATGAAAATACTGAATTTTACAGATCCATAAAAGGTTTGGAATTGAATGTGAAAGAACTGAGTGATTTTCTCAATGCAGAGGAAATAGGTCAATCTTTTAGAGGACAATTTGAAGTCTGTCTTGCCCATCATTTGTGAACGCTGTGAAGAAACTAAGCAAGGAAATAAGAAAAGTTATACAATTCCCTGGCATGTTTTTTTGCAGTGTACATGTGCCAAAATAGGTACTTGCATCTGCCTCAGAGATTATGAGGTACAAATAGTATACTAACAGGTAAAGCAGCCCTAACTTTGCACACGGTTTCTCATCTACTGGCGATCAATACAGGTGAAACTCGGAAAATTAGAATATCATGGAAAAGTGTTGGTGTTGGTCCACTGTGCTTCATTAAGTCCAGGGTCAACGCAGCCATCTACCAGGAGATTTTGGAGCACTTCATGCTTCCTTCCGCAGATGAGCTTTATGGGGATGCTGACTTCATTTTTCAGCAGGACTTTGGCACCTGCCCACACTGCCAAAAGTACCAAAACCTGGTTCAATGCCCATGGGATTACTGTGCTTGATTGGCCAGCAAACTCGCCTGACCTGAACCCCATAGAGAATCTATGGGGCATTGCCAAGAGAAAAATGAGAGACATGAGACTGAGCAATGCAGAAGAGCTGAAGGCTGCTATTGAAGCTTCCTGGTCTTCCATAACACCTCAGCAGTGCCACAGGCTGATAGCATCCATGCCACGCCGCATTGAGGCAGTGATTGATGCCAAAGGGGCCCAAACCAAGTACTGAGTACATATGCATGCTTCTACTTCTCAGAGGTCCAATATTGCTCTATTTGCAATCCTTGTTTTGCTGATTTCATTTAATATTCTAATTTTCTGAGATTTTTAATTTGGGGTTTTCATCAGCTGTACACTATGATCATCACAATTATAACAAATAAAGGCTTGACATATCTCGTGTTGCATGTCATGAGTCTATTTCATATATTAATTTCACCTTTTAAGTTGAATTACTGAAATAAATGAAGTTTTCCAAGATATTCTAATTTTCTGAGTTTCACCTGTATACTTGAAGACCACTGCAGAGGCCTTTCTCGTATTCAACCTCCCCTAGTTTCCCAAACGGTGGCCAGAATGCTCTGGACTCATTGAAACAAACATCTCTGCTAGACCAAACCACAAATGGCACCACCGTAAATCAGAGAGTTTGGCAGGAAAGTTGCAGAGTGCTGTATGTACCGTAAATCCTGGAGTTCCACACAAAAGTTACACCATAACCTCTGCTATATTACACACTAAA